TGTTTACTGCTCTTTATTCTTTACCAAACCCTGGCCGCAGTGCATTTTGCCTACCTTTGAAATATCCGTACCATATGGATTAGTCGCCAAGCTTTTGCAAGAACGTTTGCTTGGCTTATCTTCAAGGAATGTAATTAGTAATTTCACTTTTAGTTCCGTATACTTATGTGCCTGTTTATTCCATTGTTAAACCACAAATGAGCTGATCTCTTGGGAGGACAAATTGCGGCTTCTAAGCTGCAAATGATAATCATGAAAAGCGCATTGTTAATGCCAAAATAGCACTCTTGATTATGAACAAAAGTGTAGCGTCATCTTTCTCACCTATGTGTGAAGTGCCATGCTCATAGACGATGACTGCTGAAATCAACTGGGTGGCCTGATCGTCCATAACGTATTTAAAAAATACAGCGCTAAAACATGGTGAACTGGTGGTAGTCCGATTGCAATTAAGCTACACCAGTAGACAGCCAGTTGGAGCATAGAATCGAAGGTAAAACCCATAAATACTCCGCAAGGAAGCAGGTTTCTAGGAGAGGATTGCATACATAATTTAGGACTTCGTGTATTATGCGGAGTATCCACAGGGACATACTTCCTTGTTTTGAACAATCACCTGCTACGACCTACTGGCGGAAGTTGCGGGAGATGCCAGCTGGGGGTTTCCAGACGACTGTTCCATTGACAGTGCTTGGAGGGAGTTTACTGGCAAGTTCAGTGATCTGATTCAATCTGCATCGGTTAACCAACCCCTTCATTTCGCAAGATCATAATCATTCATTCGCAGCAGAACCCGAAAACACATGACAGTAAAGGACGCAGTGTGGCATGTGTATAGAGAGAACTCTAGCACTGACAACTGGAGAAACTATGTTTTGCATCATAACCACTGTACCACGCCTGTGCATGAGGACAGATTAGTACACCAGCAGAGTCTAGCGGAAAAGTTTTGTGTTAACAAGATCTTCTGTACAGATATCTGAGCAACCTCCGTTGTGCTCCTCCACGAAGCTCAGCAGATGGATGTGCTCAAACCGCCGTGGATGCAGCTAAGGTTCAACGGCTCCATTACGCTCGAATTTTCAGAAGTGCTAACAGCATGTGCTACATAACTGCCAAATCATGAGGAAGAAAGCATTTACACACGTCACGATTAGTTCGGCGAAGCTTTTGAGGAAGCCGTTATCCAATCGCAAACATATTTCCTCCAGCATTAAGAAAACACCCCGGAAGCACTGCAGAAAGCAGTTACGAGAAGTTTATTTCAAAGGAGCATGAAGAAAATCAGGTCACAAAAATGAGAAAGTAAGGCAACATTATTTTGAATTTCAAGTGTGTTGCCCGTCCAGCTTAAGCCAACAAATACGTGACTCTCCTCCCGTGATATATAAGGGGATGAAATAGAACATATATCAGGTGCAGGGGAGATGCAGCAATCCAAATATTAATTAACCAGATATGATGTCCTGTGGAATAAGTTCCCAGTCACAAGCAGATCGTGTGAGAGCGCAGCGGACTTTCGCCTTAAGATCACCAAGTACAAAGACTAGAATAAGATTATGACCCTGTTCTCTTGGGAAAAATCAATTGATGAGTTGTACCAAGAAGGGTCAGACAAAAACTGATATGTGAAACAAAAGTATTTTTTCACCCTGGGTGACACACCAATAGTGCTGTCACCATACAATAGTCGAACTAGTGCACCTAACGTCGAAAAACACATTTGAGTTAACACAAACCCCTGAAACAGCAAAATAAATCGAAATCAACAAACTATTTAACGTCCATGCATAAGCATGACGAATACTGTAAAATATCCTCTGCGACAAATAACGCCACAGCTTAACACAAGATGAGAAATATATCTATGATTATTAGTACATTGAAAGCTGATGGGTTCAATTAGAGCTGAGGCTCTAATGGAATACCTTGAAAGGATTAAAGTCATAGTACGGGAAAAATACGGACCCCGTCAACATCCGTCTTGTACTACTGATCTTCTGACTGCCCGTGAAAGTTGGACCAAGCTGCCGACAGAGATGAACGACATTTCCGTCATCTACCTAGACGTTCTAAAGCCATCGACCGCATAGATCACCGCATCCTTCTACAAAAGCTGTACACCAAGGGAATCGGGAACCAAGTCCTTAGATGGTTCGGAAACTTCCTCCTACAGCGGCGCCTTCAGGCTACAGTTCGGGCTCAAATTCTGATCCAATTAATGCGGACTGCCGTGTTCCACAAATGTCAGTCTTAGGGCCGCGGTTATTCTTGTTCTTCAGTAACGGCCTTGCGCGTGTCAGCAAGTCAAATGTCCTGCTTCTTGCAAGATGACTGCAAGATATGTTGGGCAATCGGCTGCCACGATGATCACGATATGCTGCAACGAGACTTAGACCACACACTTGAATGGTCAAAAGCGAATCTAATTCCGTTTAACACAGAGAAGTTCAAAACCGTGCATGTCCGACACAAGCCTACGTACACATGTAAGCTTGGAAACGACATGCTGAAAACCGCCTCACAAGGGTGAGACTTTGTTGTTGTGATGCAAGACGATCTCGACTGTTCGGTGTAGTCATTGAAAGCACCCAAAGTCGCGACCCAACATGTTGGTCTGTTCCGGAGGGCGTTCGGCCGGTTCAATCCCACCATCCTCCCCAAATGTTCAATGCGTATGCGAGGTCCCATACAGAGTACGCGAACCAGGCTTGCCAACCCTGGTCAAAACGCGATCTGTCTGCGCTGGACCGCCAAGCGAAGGGCAACGAGAAATGTGAAGGGGTTGTCCTGCCTGTACTATCATAGGCGACTGAGAGCCATGGGAGTGTACAACGAAAGATATCGCCATCTACGAGGTGACCTCGTCCGTGCGTTCCAGATGTTGAAAACCTTCAGACACACTTGCCGCCACCTCCTGAAGCTTAGTCGCAACACGGAAGTGCGGTGTCATAATTTGAATCTGGCCACCCAATACAGTCAGCTGGAAAGCGGCCAGAATTACTTTCTTTTCTAGGTTATCAACCCTGGAATGCTCTTTCAAATTCTGTTATTTTCGCGCCCATGCTACCCATTTTATACAATGAATCGACAATGCTTTACACTACCCACGTTACTTGAGCTGATTTTCATTCATTGAGTGACCACATGGTGCCGGCAAACATTGTGCTCACCAACACTACGAAATCTGGGCAAATGATATCTCCTTGAGTTAATGTGGATAAAATGGCGATTACACAGCTGCGTTTTGCTCCAATTTTGCGCAACCTTATTTGAACTTAGGCTATTCCAACAAAACATCCGATGGGACTTCTCAAGCCTTGTCTTTTTATCCATGCTTCATTTTTTCCCTGCATGACATGCTCCCACGTATACGATTCAAATCCATCGTCGCCATGTTACAACGCTTGATACGCAAATAAATCTTCAGGTGATTGTCAAAATTTAACTGAACACCACCTAAGTTGCAGCTGTATCAATGAAATGCACTATATACTACTGACAAGGTTTATCTAAAACGGTTTCAGTATTTTAACCATTGCGGTATACGTTGTAGTTATTATAAGCAACTGTTGCTCACAGACGTGTAACTGAGGAATCGTTACTCTCACGCGAACACTTGTGTAATGACATCAGAATACAGGCACAATTCGGTGCACGCCGATTAAAAATGAAGACGCAATGGCCAATGTTTAACTGTACTTTCCATTTACTAATCATCTGCATCTTCGAAACATATTATTCAATCTGGCTATCACCATTTCATAGGCACAATTTCGGTAAATGATAGTGAACAGTTCAATGCACTGGCTTTCGATAATCCTAACTCACAGCATTTACTCGTGTTAACCGAAAATTGTTCAATTGCTTAGGCTGTATCATGGTTGGAAAAGCGATTTACTACCCTGTAATTTGTTGCGGTGCGGTTAGATGATGGACGGACCGTTATCAGGAGAAACTCATGTTGGAGACCAATCATTATCTTTCCTAGACTACTGCACTTCACAAATTCTGCAAAATATTAATAATAATAATAATAACATATTATGCTTTCACAATTCTGAGGTTAACCGGCTTAACGTTCATAGAATACTGCGAAGCCATGCGAATTATGTGGTTGGAAGTCGGTCGAATTCAACCGCCCTTTGAAGCCGAGGTGTTGCCCATGGCAGGACTTTTACAATTTGTCTTAAAGGAATTTAATTTAGGTGTCACAATCTAACAACATCATAGAGGAGGCTCAAACTGGTTCGAAGCTAATTGGTAGATCGCGTATCCGTTAGTTTGAGTTGGCGAGAGAGTTAACCACAATTCAACCACTTACTTTGTTTTGTGATAACTCAGTCCACTTGTAGTTGGTGTCTCTCATCCCATCAATTGCAAAAAGATACTTTCTCTTGATTTAACTGTTTTCCTGATTACAGTATTCCAACGTGAACTTCCGCGACAACGCCTAGCTTTGGCCGTGTAAGTATACGAAAGACGTTTAAGTAATTTCAGTCTCTACCCCTATCATTTATCCATTCAGTTAGGTATTTCGTGCATCATCGATCTGTTTCATAGCATAAGTGTTCGCTTACCGATTTGTTATCCGCGGTTGACAAGCGCATGTTGTATTGGTATAACAGTGATTTTACTCCGCTTTGTTACCGGAGATGCGTGCACGAAAGTGAAATTTTTCGTGTCTGTCACACTGCCGTAGATGAGCACACGATTCCAGTTCTGGTGCTAACACATCTATGCGTTCCGAGCCGTTCCACAAAATGACAAATTAATTCAAGCCGTTTGTTCTTCACACTCCTAATATACCTCAAATGAAAAGAAGTTCTTGTACTTCCGTTAGCTAAACTCGGAGTACCGAGCTGTTTTCTGCTTCTGTTATTTGGTTCCGTAAGGACCAGAGTAAAAAAAGTAGAGCTGGGCAGTGTGTTTCCTTCAGCCCGATGGGTTGAACTACCATAAGTTTAAGAGCTAAGCCTGTTCAGCATAGAAAACCAAAGTGATTCTCTAAACTAGTATGAAAACGACAACATGGGCAACGAAACAACTACTAATAAATACTTGATGTTCGTAACTGATATGCACATTTGTATGCAAAATGCGTATTATTTCGGACAACATGTCTGACTAATTATAAATGTGCGAACTTAACCGTTTTGTTTCATATGAACATGATAATGGCTAAGTATGTCGGCAATGCAATTGTCTTTCTCTTACATATATGCGACTTCCCTGGCTATCTTGAGGTGAGGAATACGCTAAATAGTTGGTTACATGTGTTTAGAGTCTTGGCCACAGTCCTAATCTACATCGCTTTGATCACTCGGCCAGATTGAATAGCGTCTGACCCTCTCCGTTCGAGTTCTTTCTCTTCTCTCCTCACTTTCTTCTGGAACGAATCCAAGGTTGGGAACACCGGATTCTCTTCTGACCTGGGTCCCACCATCCGTAGCATGGTCAGCGCTGTGTTTTATGAACCTGTGGCGGGCCTGCATAACATCCGCAAGCTCTTCATTAAAGTCCATTTGACGCTTGTCTCTTGGGATGATGCTGGCCTTTCTGGGAGAACGGATATATTCAGCAAATTTGGCTGCTGTCTTTACATTTGCCATTGGCTCGTCTGCTGCTTCCAAATCAGTGATTGCCGGAAATATATTGTCTGTGTCAATTTGTCTGCTGTCTTTCCTCAAGCCCAACGCTGTAGTTTCCAGTTGGGCGGACAAGAATTTGGTGCGCAATGACTCCGGTATTTCTGTCAAGTAAGATTCCATTTCCTGAGGAATCGTAGAGGCTAGGTGGAGCTGCAAAGCGATCTTTTCATACACATGCATCAGTTTATTACTGTAAGGTTCCGGTTTATTTTGTAGTATCTTGCGAAGATACTTCTCGTCCAACCGTATGAAAAAGTCCCGGATTACATTGCGACCCTTGTTACCGGCGATAATCTCGATGCCAGCGAGCATTTCATCTAATGCGTTGTCATTTAAGACGGTGAACAAACTGAGTTTATTTGCTGCTTGCATACGTATTTTAAGCGCCTTAACGAGCGGCTTCATCGTCATCCCCATAAATCCCACTGTGAACACAATGATAAACAAGGTCGCTGTTATCATCAAACGTCTACCATATAGTCCATGAAATCCAAGCTGATCCGGTACCACAAGAACAGATAAGGAAAAAGCTACTGCGCCTCGTAATCCACCATAGATCAAGATTAATTGATTTGAGAAAGGCATCTTCGTTCCGTCCACATTGACCGCGTTAACGATTGCGGTGATGCCCAAGACAACAATCGCACGAGCCACCAAACAGAGTACGAGACTCCACAAAATAAATCCAGTGTGCCATTCCAAATTTGAATTCAGTATTTCAATCCCAAGGTACAAAAAGATCACCGATTCGCATATTTCGGAGACTATTTTTGTCAGTTTGTGCACCATTGTGACTGAAGCATAGTCAATATTTTGGAACGCATACGCTGCTTGTAGTAGACCGCAACCGATCATGGAAATAATACCAGACCAACCGACGCAGTCCGCCATAATGTAAGAGAAGTAAGCGAGTAATATCATACTGAATGCATTCAAGTGGCTTCGTATTCGTGTGAGTAGACAAGAAATAATTCCAACCACCACACCGATGAGGAGGCCACCGAAGCTGACAGTGAAAAAAGAAGCAATACCCACGCCAATCTGTTGACCTGTCACAGTATCTCTGCCAGCAAAGGCCGACATAATATCGTATAGCACCACGGTTATAGCATCGTTTAACAACGACTCACCAAAGACAATATAGTACAGGGATAATTCGACACCAATATCTTGAAAAATTGCCAGCACTGCTACGGGATCCACGGCAACGATGAGGGAGCTGAACAAAAGTTGGCCCTTCAGGTCAAAGTACTTGCCAGCGTCGCCCATTGCCCCGGCTCTCTCCAGTCCATACATGACAAAACCAATGATGAGGAAGTTACAGATAGTCCCGAACACGGCGAAAATTAAAACTACTCCAAGATACTCACTAAATGTCCGATTGTATAGTGAATAGGAGGATTCGAGTACTATTGGTGGAAGGAGATAGTTGAAAAAGAGCGTCGGGGTTAGGACCCAAACGGTCGCTTCATATGATCCCACTTTCACTCCGTATCTGATGATGGCGCCGAATATGACACCCAGTATGATTAACAGGAGCGACTCAGGAACATATTCACTCAGGTACGGGATGCGATGGAAACCTATCTTGATCAAAACCATTGTTAGCAAGAATAACATCACTGTGATATGCACTGAAAAGTCGTTAAACTCCCAATCTGCAACCGTTATTTCTTTGAAAGCGCTTTCCTCTGCTCCACTCATGATTTTAGCCTTTACAAAGTTCAGAAAAGAATGCTCCAACTGATTCGTATGAGTACGAGCGCGATAAATTATCCATGCACGAAGTGTCTTGCGAATTCGGTTGTGGTATATAACACATTTCGAAGGTGGCAGGTGGATTCATAATTAAAAGTTAGCTCACAGAACTGTGAGATAGACTGACCAATCAAATGCGCGCGCGTGTCATCTTGCAGCTTACGTGTGTCTAAATCCGAGGACACGTGGGACGAATGGGCACCATGCTGTGATGAACTGCGGAGTATGTTGCATTGAGTGTAGTGGTAGTAACCATTATTTCACAGGTGATTTGTTTACCTAATGCCATAATTCTCAACTGATCCATTACGGAGGCCTCGGATAGAACCTGTAAGACTTTGTTGACACAATCGGGAACCAGACCGTACTGGTTTATACAACAGCTAGGATGTCAAGTCAATATAAGCTTTGTACACCTGAGAGGGTACATTTTCAACATGTGCCACTCTCCACCACGAATGCTTAGGGTATTATCATAAAAGTGAAAGGTTGTTCAACTGGAAAACGGACATTAGGAAGGCAAGTGTAATTAAGATAAACGATCCCGAATCCGCATGCTGTTGACGGCACAGTGTCGAAGAAAGACTTAACGTTTCGGAATAGAGCATTTCAGGCTGTAAAACGCATTATGATAACTTCCCGTGGTAAGCGCAACCTCTAAAAGTCCATTTCAAAAAGCCGGCGAAGGAGAGCAATTGTGAGCTTATAACTTGACTAACGGAAGCAAAAATAAAAATCTCAGTTAGAACTGCTGAATCCGCAGCTGGTAACTAAAGGGCGATGTTCCGGCGAATAGGCGACGGCCGATTTAAACGCCACGCCACTTTTTGAGATATTACCGCAGTTTTTGTTTGTAGAAATGTTCTCAGAGAATGGCATAATTATACGCGTTGTTCTTCCGTAAGTTGATGTCATGCTTCACTGTTTGCGTACACATCACTTATCATAAGCTGTTCCGTTCATGTTCGTAGTGTTTATGCATATATGGTAGGAGCGAGTTCCCGGGCAGTGATCCAATGTAAGCATATTTCAGAAAATTATCACCTATTTCACAAGCTAAAATACCTGTATATTATCTGATAGCTCAGTCGGCTGCCGCTCACACTTATCTCTTAGAATTATGGCTGCGTATGCGTACCCCTACCCTCCCCTGAAAAAAATTGTAAGGCAGAACCAGTTATCTTGACTAGATTACTGCGGCGCATTCTAAGAAGCAAATAAGTTATACTTGAGCAAAGTAAAACGCAGTGGTACCAACGACAAATGTACTACCCATATATTAAAACGCTAGAAAAATAAATGTTTCATTTTTCAGGGACAAACTGGTTGGAAAAGATGAGCTTTTAAAACAACTAATATGACTTGGTCTGCTTTGGAATTTTATCTGCTGCAATCTTGTAAAGGATGTCATGCAGTACTTAACTGTATTAAGCTGAAAAAGGCAGCATGGTTTCAAGTTTGTACGTTGCAGCAACTGCGTGCTTTGGGAAGGAACCTCAAGACCAGCAATTATGAACCTACATTAAATCAGTTTGTATCACATGGTCAACTGATTACACACGCATTTGCAATGTCAAGCGCCATCTTTATTTTAAAGATCTTGGATTAGCAACAAAGCGTCTATCATGGATGTGGGATACGTCACACTACACGGTACTCGCACAGGAGCACTCAGAATTTAGAGCTTGAAGTTGAAATGGCGTGACAGCACTGGTTACCAATCAGTGTCAGTGGTAAGTTGATTCATAAAAGTTTGCCATGTGGGACCAACCTACCCTTATTAGTTAGAGGTTTACATTGTACATGATTTCAATGCAGCATGCCATGTTTCACATTTACTTGTTCTATCATCGCATATGTATATGAACTTAACTAACTAAGCAACCAGATGTTGAGCAATCAGCCTAGATGCCTCAAATAACGACTGCGGGGAAGTTGTCGCCAGCATTTTTCCCAATCAGCCGAGCATCATAATTAATTCAACTGCTTTCATTTCTATTCCCTGGTAGAAATTTGAAAGTACATGTATTTAGTCAACACTATATGTTTTCTCACTAACCTCTATTTTCTATTTTCAATAAGCAACAAGGAGTTCCGTGCAGGCTATGTACCACAAGGTCGCTTCCGTGCACAGCAGACTGTTTAACTGGCTTTACGCTAGTCAACTACGCAATGCTCTTGCTGATAACCTAGCTGAAACTGTGTGGCAGATATAGTGGAGTTGTGAGAGATTGCCCGCGTCAATGAGTCAACACACAAGATCCTATACCCTGGTAAAAGGAATTTACTGCGCATATTTGTAGGGAAACACCGGTGCTTTGAGTTCCTTTACCTGATCGGCACTTTGATGAGGATATAAGGACGAAGACGATCCTATCCGTTTCAGCACGGTCATTTGTTTTATTTGAATCCTGCATGCACTGCAATCTAGGACCTTGTCGAGGAGTTATTTTACTCAAATTATTATATAGTAGCCAGCGAGAAATTGGCTTCATTATTTTTACCAGGAATAACCGAGACATATTTCGGTTATAGTGGTTCCAGGATTTGGCATTCTGACATCAGTTGCGCACAGGAGGTTACTGAAAGTCAGAAGACAGTGCTGGAAATATTTTCTAGACCTTGCTTTTATTGTTGACTGAAAGGGCCATTGAGATTATGCTGACAAACCAACAGATATTGCTTAGTATTTTCGTCACAAGAGGACATGATGGGTGCTTTCGAAGCGTATACGCGAAAAGAGATAATTTGGCTATCCGTACTTCTGAGCGTCACTTTTAACTACAAGTTTACTAATTGGCGCCACTACTCCGTGTATTGTAGTGGATGGTATATAAAGGTTCAAAATCGATATCCAAATTTATCCGATACTGTACCGAGTTAAATTTCGTTTACGTCTGGTGACAGGTGAAGGTCTCGGTGCTATTGCCCTCAGTCTTCAGTGTCTAATTATTTGGTGTGCTGTTTTACCCTGCTTACACTTCAGCGTCGCAACTCCCCTCACGTAGCTCATCATTCATTGAGGCATTGGAAACGTAGAACTATTATAGCTATGCGGGCGGAAATCTGGGTGATGCACCCACCGGAGGTGGGATAGCTACCTAAGTGCGTAGTTCGAAAACTCGTTGCACAATAGTAATGTACACGGAAGCGCTGCTGTGACGCTGTGGCCTATTTCCCTGCGACCTTATATGTGCGCTCATACGAATCAGCTTATCGTATGTCATCACCCGTAATTTTTAAACAGAGCATCTAAACAACTTAGTAAACAAAACCTAATTATTGAACACAGCGTTAATGAAAGAAAAACGTCCCTCACATAGTGACATATCTGTTATATGAATGTGGAGTATCCAACTATGGACTCTGTAGTCTTGAGTGGTAACTGCCTTGTACCATCGTTTTAATCAGTCCTGCGTGATGTGTTATGGTTTGTGCACAGCGGTATATATGCGCTTGCCAGATTAGTACATTCCGGTGCAGTCACGAGACCAAATTTGGCAACTTGTCACCACCTTCACTGGTGCGAGATATATGTCAGTATGCACAATAACACAGGAAAACGAATTCACAAAACTTGACATGCAACCCGTGCCGTTGGTGGAGTTGAACATCGAAGCTAAGGAACCAGTGCGACTCCTATGGACGAGAATGAGACGAATAACAATCAGACCTGTTGGATGTATGGGAGAAAGAATTTGGTCGAAGCTCCGTTGATTACCTCAGGTCTTTCGATTGCTGGTAAGACGATATACAACACTGACGGTCACGGATAATCTGATCCGCTTAAGTTCCATCACTTGAGTTGCGCCAACCTCAGTCTGAAGGATACAGCGTACTTAGTTATCCAATAAGAAATGCGAGCATTTGCCAGTCTTCGTCTTCTGACTACGTTTTCAAATTACTAAAAAGGACTTATTGCTTCAAAATTCCGAAAAGCCGAATTCCCGTTGAATCAGTCAAACTAGTTCGCCGCATTGTCAACAAGAGATGTAAGATTGCTTGCAAGCATGTGGAAATATCTTCCTCTCTGAAGTATCCGCCAGCGTCGTTATTCACGATCGATTGTGAAGATGGTAGGTAGAGACCACTAGGACGAAGCAAAAGTGTTGTAATACGGTTAAAAAGCCAAGGATTCACATGTCAAATAGGAATGTTTGTCAGAATAGGCTAAGTGCAAATAAAGTGGCACAAAATTCGAGAAAAACGCAACTGCGGACTCACCACATTATCCACATTAACACAAAGCTATATCAGTCTACCCTGATTCCGTAGGGTCGGTGAGCACAATGTTTGCCGGCACCGTGTCGTTACGCACTGATTGGAAATAGTAGGTATTTTGAATACAAATGTGTTTATCAGTTACGAACATCAAGTATTTATTAGTAGTTGTTTCGTTGCCCATGTTGTAGGTTTTCATACTAGTTTAGAGGATCACTTTGGTTTCCTATGCTGAACAGGCTTAGCTCTTAAATTTATGGTAGTTCAACCCATCGGGCTGAATGAAACACGCTGGCCAGCTCTACCTTTTTTACTCTGGTCCTTACGGAACCGAATAACAGAAGCAGAAAACAGCTCGGTACTCAGAGTTTAGCGAAAGGAAGTACAAGAACTTCTTTTCATTTGAGGTATATTAGGAGTGTCAAGAACAAACGGCTTGAATTAATTTGTCATTTTGTGGAACGGCTCGGAACGCATAGATGTGTTAGCACCAGAACTGGAATCGTGTGCTCATCTACGGCAGTGTGACAGACACGAAAAATTTCACTTTCGTGCGCGCATCTCCGGTAACAACACGGAGTAAAATCACTGTTATACCAATACAACATGCGCTTGTCAACCGCGGATAACAAATCGGTAAGCGAACACTTATGCTATGCAACAGATCGATGATGCACGAAATACCTAACTGAATAGATAAATGATAGGGGTAGAGACCGAAATTACTTAAACGTCTTTTGTATACTTACACGGCCAAAGCTAAGTGTTGTCGCGAAAGTTCACGTTGGAATACTGTACTCAGGAAAACAGTTAAATCAAGATAAAGTGTATTTTTGCAATTGATGG